TATACTACTTATATTAATTTTAAATAGGTATAAAAATTGCCAGCAGATTTTAAATAAAAGCTCTACTTAGCCTGGGTCGCATAGGGAAAGCAAGACTATGGGAACTTTCTTTGCACTTTTGGGGAAACTCAAATATTAATTATTCACAAACTCAACTAACATAGGGTCAATATACCTACTATTCTCATTGCCGAGATTGGTAAAGTTACGATTTACTGTTCCTGTAAAAAAAACGCTTAGCCATAGGCTAGTGAGCAGTGCAGAGTCGGCATATTATTTAGCCTAAGCAGAAATATTCGCCAGCTGACAGTTGAATTTATTGTAACATCCTGATTGAGGCCGTTTAGGTGAAAATGTGTTAAGACTTCCACTGTCATTAGACGGACATCATCACAACAGAATATCATTCATAGAATCAAGGACCCAAAGCTACGCATTTTGATGAGAGGGCATATAAACCCACCATTTGGTGAGCTTTCCAGACTCTTTCGCCTAAATATGGTTATAAAAATGATATCATTCTCTGTTGATTAAAAGCCTAGCAAGTTTTCATCGGAATTTCAGAAACAAGAACGCTCCAGTCATTTGTGGAATTTACTTTAAAATCTGTTCATCAAGAAATTTTGACTAAAGCTGGAAGTAAGCTAAACTAGTGTAAGTCATGGGATTTATTTAAGCCCAACTTTTCTAAGTATATCAATTTTGATTACGTTTACTCAATTGTATTCGATGCCAACATGGTCTTAAATGAATGGAGAACTGGCTGAAGGTGAACAGAGTTTGAAGGTTCGCCGGTAGCCGACCCCTATTTCTGCTAAGAAGAGGCAAGATGCCAAATGGGCGCTCTGTTGCTATGACTACTCGGACAGTGGAGTTTGGACAAGGTGCATTCTTCCATGCCGCCCTGACGAAATAGGGTTGCGAAAATAAGATCAAACCCCGTAAATACAGAAAAAGTAGATTGCCATCAAAATTTGGGCCCCACTATTTTGGTTTTCACTTATGTAATTATAAAATTGTAACTAATAACTCCATCATCCTCCAATTAACTCTGTGGACTTTTGGTGAAAATTATAGGGCATAGCCTTGCTTCCCAAAAGGTATTCACATACCGGCTGAAGTAGGCTGCAGTTTCGACTTCGCCTGAACTGGTATCATTAACATTCCCAGTAATACTCAATCCCGGATAATAAAACGTATAATCTCGACATGTCAGTATTGCGGATGCGAACACCTTTTGAGAAGCAAGACTATATGGTACATTGGTTCTTCAAAAGAATTGTGGAAAAGTTAAACTATCAGTCCTTCATCAGTTTATGTGATTTACGGTGACCACAATTCATGATTGAGTCTGGAGTATGAAAGAAAGTCTTTGATGAATCCACTTTTTTCTAACGCTTTCACAGGCCCACCTTTTCTCGTGCCCTTGGTCTGCTTCCTCATTCTGGCGATCGGAGTGCTCTGTATCATCTTCATTGTCGTCTTCTACCAACGCAAGAGACGTGAACTCATCATTAAATACGCTCCCATCCTGGTCACCGCCAACAACCAACTGCCTCCGCCGACCTCCTCAAACCCCATTGACCAGCACGCCTTACTCTCGCTGCCCACGAAACCATGTGGAGAGACGGCCCTCTCTAGCGGTCTCATGAAGGCCAGAGAAGCTGTTACAACAGACGCTAGACTCGGACACGCCAGCCTGCCTGGCTGGCCTCAGACAATACCAACAGCCCCGGCTCCAACCTCACCGATAGCCCTGGGTTCCAGCCCCTGTAGAGTCCAGAAACAGCAGCACCCGACTTACCTGCAAGCAAGCTTGCAGCTGCTCCACAATCACAACCATCACCACCGGAACCACCATCAACAACATCTCCAGCACTTGCACCAGCCAGACCCACAACAGACAGCGCTCACTATGGCCGGTGGAACGACACAGAAATGTCGATCTGCGTATCCATATCCACTTCAAGGCATGGCTCTTCAGGCTCAGCAGTATCATCACCAATAATGATAACAACAAAAAATAGCAATAACAACCAGCGATTGCTGCGCGCCCTCATTGGGACAGGAGAAATGGGTTCGTGATAGAGACAAGTTTCTCAATCCAGATGTCATGGCCACCTGAATCACTAGTTAGTAGGACACTTGAATTGTATTGTGAAGATGATGAAAAGGAAAGGAACAACCTTTGCCGTTCCGGAGTTGTCGTTTGAGATTAGAAAAAGTGGCCGTCTTTGTGGAGAGCCTAATTTGATATAGCATTTCCTTTAATATCCCATTTAACAATGAAACATGCACCCTTGGAACGAAGCAAGAGCTTGCCTCCCCCCTCGACATTGCGCCATTTTTAGTTGGAAGTAAGTTGTTTCCATCTCCAGAATCAATCATACCAACTGAAAACCCCATGGGACAGACACCAAGGTGGGGCGGCTGCTGAAATGATCAAGAATTGCGGGCTTTGAGATGAGCTCGACAGGAGGAAGCAATAAGAAAAGAGATTTCCTCAATGTGAACTATGCCCAAACTCTCAGCTCATCATGACTGTAAATTAGTCGCCCTGGAAACAGAACTAGAGCCTCCTCTTCTCATTTGTGCAATAGACAGCCTATTGGTGCACATTTTGTTAATATTATTTAGACAAAGCCAAATTGCTATTATCTCAGCCACCGACCGATTGTGTAAATACTTTCCTTCGACTAAATGGGAAACCATAATTGACAGACGAATGAGATTCTTAAAATAAACCAAATTCCGCACTCTTATAATTTTTCCGTAGATTGTAAAAGAGGGTTGAAGTTGTTATGGATGGTATCTAGCAACAGGCTTGATGGACCTCAGGCACCAGAGTTGATGAGACATGGTTTACCAGAAAGTGAATATGCCCTAGACTATGTTCATGCCCAGGCCCGGTCCGAGATGCATATTATTCTCATTGGTTTGCAATGCAAAACAATTTTTCGATGCCAGAGTATCGGATGTAGACTCTGCTCATTAGTGGAAGAGTCGTGCTTCGAGAGATATGAAGTCGGTCCGGTTTGGCTATGCTGCAATCTTTTACAGGGTGATACAATTGAAATTCCCTCGTTCAGGGCCTGTATGTATGATGAGGTGGCCACAAGGAAAAAGAAATAGCGTTTTGGGTACCTATCCTACTTTGCAACGCTCGATCAAGACAATGGTAGCTGGATGAATCTGGAAGCTTCGAAAAAGTACCGGTCTGTGTAATATGTAGTTGGATTCTGGGATAATTCGCCAGTTGACTGAAGAATGGGCGAGAGAAAAATTAGGGGGTCCACTTTGATTTGCAAAGGTCGTCGGGGCTGGTGAATCAACTTCGAGATTGTGTTCAACAAGTCTTAAATCATATTCTAAGTTAGGGGAAAAAATGAAATAAGCGGTAGCAAAATGGAAGATTCTATATACACATGTGCAAATAGTGTAGAGAGGAATTAGCGCCAGATGTGGGACAAAAGATGAAGCATTTTGAAGTAGATATATATTAGTTAATAAATAACAATCGACATGGACAAAAATAGGCTAATTAGAACCTTCCCATCGTATTTGTTCTAGAAGGTTTAAAAATGGGGAAGCAAAGGGAAACAAAGTCATTAATTATTCGAGACACTTGAAATGTAGAATTCACGTTTAACATTGTGAACTGGGAAGATAGATAGATAAGGAATAACTATCAGGTTCGAGTATTTTGGAGGACTGTGAAAGCAATCGTTTAGTAGAAGACAAATGGAATGACAAGCGCATTATGAGCCTGTGTACGACCCAAAATATGAAGATGAGTAAGTG